TACAAACTCCTTTCCCTTCCCCTCCCCATAACAGACACCTTGTGAGGTGGGGGGGGCTGAGAGAACTCCAGAAGCCCTCCCACTGTTCCTCAAGATAGTCCTCATTCTAAGAGGCAAGGAAAGCTTGAATGCATTTTCAGCTCCACGTCTCCTACCTCATGCAATGGGGAAGAACTTCCCTGGAAGTGGAGCTCTCAACCCAGGGATTTCCCCCCCTCACAAACTGCAGAGCTGGTGTATGTACCGGAATGAAAATTCTGCATTTACATACATGGTTCATTAGGTTCATTAGCGCTGTGTTTCTTTAAACTCCATTCCTGACGTGAATCACTTCCTGGTTTCCATAGAAGAGCTCTGGCCTGGGTAGCCCAGGGTAGTCCTATCTTGCCAAATCTTGGAAGCTAAGCAAGGTTGGCCCTGGTTAGTATTTGGATGGGAGACCTCCAAGGAACACCCGGGTTGGGACGCGGAGGGAGGCACCGGCAACCCACCTCTGAATGTCTCCTATCTTGAAAATCCAATGAGGCTGCCATGAGTCAGCTGTGACTCGATGGGGGGGGGAATTCACCAAAGAAGCCCTCTGTCACGTTAGGAGAAAACTAAATGATTCAAAGAGTCGAGAACCAGTTTGGTGTAGTGGTTAGGAGCGCGGAGTCTAATCTGGGGAAATGCAGCTGCTGGCATGACCTTGGGTCAGTCGCAAATTCTTTCAGAGCTGTTCTCTCACAAGCAGTCCTCGAAGGAGCTCTCTCAGCCCCACCTGCCTCACAGGATGTCTGTTGTGGGGAGGGGAAGGGAAAAGAGATTGTAAGCCGCTCTGAGACTCCTTCAGGTAGTGAAGTCCAGAATATAAATTCAGTTTCTTCTTCTTCTTCTTCTTCTTCTTCTTCTTCTTCTTCTTCCTCCTCCTCCTCCTCCTCCTCCTCCTCCTCCTCTTCCTCTTCCTCTTCTTCTTCTTCTTCCTCTTCTTCTTCTTCTTCTTCTTCTTCTTCTTGAAAAAGAGCAGTTTCTGTCAGAGCTCTCTCAGCCCCACCTGCCTCACAGGGTGTCTGTTGTGGGGAGGGGAAGGGAAAGGAGTTTGAAAGCCGCTCTGAGACACCTTTGGGTAGTGAAGGGCAGGGTATAAATTCAGTCTCTTCTTCTTCTTCCCCCCCCCCTCCCACCTTATGGAATGGCCTGCATGAGAAGGTCAAGAAGGCTCGCTCACTTCTGTCATTCCTTGTTGTTTGGAAGCGCTTTTCTAGAAAGCTAATAGAGCTATACTGTCATGTTCAAGAAGGCGCTTCATAAAAGGGAAAGGGATTATGGGTTAGACCACTGTGCACAGGGGGAGGGGAGCCAGTTTGGTGTCGTGGTTAAGAGCACGGACTCTAATCTGGGAGAACCAGGTTTGATTGCCCACTCCTCCACATGCGGCTGCTGGTGTGACCTTGGGTCAGTCACAAGTTCTCTCAGAGCTGTTCTCTCAAGAGCAGTCCTCGAAGTAGCTCCCTCAGCCCCATTTACAGGGTGGTCTGTTGTGGGGAGGGGAAGGGAAAGGAACTGTAAGCCACTCTGAGACTCCTTCAGGTAGGGAAGGGTGGGGTATTAATCTCTTCTTCTCATTCACATTAAGATAAGGCATGGGATTTTATGGGCATTGCCTCCCACAAGCCCTGTATTTTTAAAAAAGAAAACAAAACAAAAATACACTCATTCCCACTGCTGCTTTTTACTGCGAAGGGGGAGGCTGTTTTTGGATGAGATCATCTCCCAGAGAAATCTGATCCTTCTTTTGCTTCACCTGGCGAATGTGTCTTCTTTTACCTCTTGGGAGGGAGGACGTTTTAGCTGCTTCCTTGAAACACAGGTGAGCTTCCTGTTGCGAGGGGGGAGGGGAGGGAGGCGACAGGACAACTCATCTCCAGGCCACAAGTATCAGTCCCCCTGGAGAAAATGGATGCTTTGGAGCAACGCTTCCTCTAAGCCAGTGGTGGCGAACTTATGGCACGGGGGCCAGAGGTGGCACTCAGAGCCCTCTCTGTGGGCACGCGTGCCATCGCCCCAGCCAGGCCCAGACCATCATTAAAGTGTCGAGTTCTCTGCCAAATAATTTTTAAGTAAATGAAAGCATTTGGGATTGCTTTCCTTACTTTGTTTGGATCATCTTAAGCTAATGTATGAGTTGTTTTTTCTAAAGTAAAACCTCGGTATTCAGGTTAAATGGCCATGTTGGCACTTTGTGATAAATAAGTGGGTTATGAGTCACAGTTTGGGCACTCGGTCTCTAAAAGGTTCGCCATCACTGCTTTAAGCTGTGGAGTCCTGTGAGCGAAAATTCTACTTTCTGAGCTACCGGCATTAAAGTGGTGAGCGAGCAATTCGGCTGCTGCATCAGTTGGTTTGCTCTGGAGCCATCCTTCCTGAGCGAAGACAGAAATGTGTGAGCCGGAGGCTAAAAAACTGTGAGCTAACTCACACTAACTCAGCTTGGAGGGAACACTGCTTTAGAGGGCAGATCCTATGGCATTATACCCCACGGAGGCCCACCTCCAAATCTCCAAAGGTTTCCTGACTTGGATCAGACAACCCTAAATACTTTGGCCCTCTCATGTCTCCTAGAAGTCCTTCTGCCTTAGTTGAAAGAAAGACTCCTTATCTAAAGGTCAAACTCAGGCTGGGGAGGATGGGAGAAGGTTGCAGAAACCACTACCTTTATCCTCCCTGCCTTCTCCCAAGGCATCGGCCTGCTCCTGTAATTAGACAAAGACCCAATGGTTGCAACCGATCCAGAAACAAGCACCCCTGCTTATACAAAACGAGACCCTCACCCCAGTTAAGAGTGCCAGCAATATGATCGGGGTAAACCTCACTGCACAAAAATATCAATCAGGGATGCTGCTGTGCGGCATAAGCATGGGTTACATATTCTGGTGGGATCACGTATACGTCAGGTGCATATTTTGTGGAGTCATTCTCTCCCCTTGCTGCGTGCGGGATGGGGAGATGGAAAGCAAAAGCACAACACAGCCATAGTCAAAGCTGCACTACCAGGTCAGGGACAGGGTGAATTCTAAATGGATCACACACGTCCCACCTAGGGAGTACGTGGCTAACAGATTTAAGGACACAACACATAAGGTGTCCCTGGTGCCACCGGACCATCCTTCCGAGACCGCCCGTCCTATGTCTTCCACTATCCGGTATCGGATAGAGGTCTCCCCAGCTGAGGGGAATGTGCAGTCGTGGGTATCGAAGACCTGCTGGCAATTTGAAAGAGACAGAAAAAAACACTCAAAATGTCTTGCAGGTGTTAGCTGAAACTGGGCTCTAGCCTTAGAGGAGGTGTATTTGCTGCCCAAGTTAGAATCGTAGAATCACAGAGCTGGAAGGGGCCCTACAGGTCATCTAGTCCAACCCCCCTGCTCAATGCAGGATCACCCTAGAGCACCCAAGACAAGTCTCTGTCCAGCCGCTGCTTCAAGACTGCCAGCGAGGGGGAGCTCACCACCTCCTTTTGATCTCTGGGGATCTGCCTTTTAGGATATATATTTGATTTCTGGGAAGAATCTGCCTTATAGGATCTGCGGTTGATACCTCATAACCAGTGCTCCCTCTACGCTGGGGAGTCTTGTGAGCAAAAATCCCACTTTGTGAGCTGCCGGCATTAAAGTTGTGAGCGAGCGATTTGGCTACTGCAGAAATCAGTTTGCTCTGGAGCCCTCCTTCCTGGGCTAAGACAAAAAAATGTGTGAGCCGGAGGCTAAAAAACTGTGAGCTGGCTCACACCAACTCAGCTTAGAGGGAACACTACTCATAACCTGTGGTTTATTGCTAGGGATCTGCCTTGTTTGCTTCCAATTATGAATTGTCTGTTTCAGGTGGGTAGCCGTGAAGGTCTGAACCAACAGAACCAAGTTTGAGTCTGGTGGCGCCTTCAAAACCAACAAAGTTGAATTCTGGGTATACGTTTTCTGGTGCCTGCACACTTTTTCTGTTTGTAAAGAAGCCAACCCTTACAAAGGCCTCCTAAGCCTTCTCCAAAGGATGCTGAAGTTGGTGGGGCTGTTCCTGGACGTTCTCACCACTCATGGGCAATGTTCCCTCTAAGCTGCGGAGTCTTGTGAGCAAAAACGTCCACTTTGTGAGCTGCCGGCATTAAAGTTGTGAGCGAGCGATTTGGCTGCTGCAGAAATCAGTTTGCTCTGGAGCCCTCCTTCCTGGGCTAAGACAAAAAGGTGTGAGCCGGAGGCTAAAAAACTGTGAGCCAGCTCACACTAACTCAGCTTAGAGGGAACACTGCAGTCATGGGGTGATTCCGCACTAGACCACAATTCCTGGTTCAACCCTGTCCCTGAACTTACATTCTACACTACATTCAAGTTCACCCCTGTAATTATCTCGGGGTATTTTTTTTGTTTCCACATTACATTGAGGTCACCCCAATTTCGCCGCACAATTGTCCTGGGATAAACGGGTGCTGTTATAACCAGGGAAAAATGCAAGGTATTGTTGAACTCTGATAAAACCAGGGATGAGATCCAAGTGCGGAAAGGACCACAGGTGAGCCGTTTGGTAGAGGTTTATGGCAGAGGAATGGTGGGTGGGGTGGGACTAGAATCCGCCAGCAAGAGCAAGCTCCCGCCTTTCCACCTCTCCAGTCTGGCTTCCAGAATGCCTTGGTGGTTCCATAGTCCTGTGACCAAACTTTCGCAGCCCTGCCTCTTCTTGGCTACCCATTTGACTCGATATGGAGGCCCGAGGACGAGGACCCACCTCTAAAAACAAAGAAATAACCGGAACAGTAACAACCAAAGCCTCTGAGGTGTGGAAATATCTGTCACAATCCTTCCTACCACAGACTTGAGCCACGAGAGCCTCCAAATTGGCTTACATCCTGTCCTTGAAATCGGGGTGTGTCAGCTGCCTTCCTTCCTTGCTCAAGAGGATGATTGAAACAACAATGATCATTGGGTAGGAATGAGTGCCGGCAGAGAGAGCACGAGCCGGACGCGCCCACACAGAGAAGAGTATAAAAGCTCCCTCCTCATCTTGACTCCTGCATTTCACAGCACCACGCAGCTCCACCAATCCTCCTGCCTTTTGAACGGTTGGTAAGTCTGTGCCTCTCTTTGCAGCTGCCCTAGCATGCTTTAAGAGCCAGCTTGGTGTAGTGGTTGAGTGCGCGGACTCTAATCTGGGAGAACCGGGTTTGATTCCCCACTCCTCCACTTGCACCTGGCTGGATGACCTTGGGCAAGCCGTAGTTCTGACAAGAGCTGTCCTTGAAAATGAGCAGTTTCTGCCAGAGCTCTCTCAGCCCCACCTCCCTCACAGGGTGTCTGTTGTGGGGAGGGGAAGGGAAAGGAAACTTCCCCTAATTCCAGGAGTATGATCTGACTGCGTTGGCCTCATTGGGGAGGACTTTGCATATGCTCGACCTGTGTTTAATTTAAGGCATCAGACATTACTGGCCAGGTGAGACCCCCCCACACTCTACTTATCAATTTGATGCACCAGTTTGGTGTAGCGCCAGTTTGGTGTAGCGCCAGTTGGGTGTAGTGGTTAGGAGCGCGGACTCTAATCTGGGAGAACCGGGTTTGATTTCCCCACTTCTCTGCATGCAGCTGCTAGTGTGACCTTGGGTCAGTTACAAGTCCTTTCAGAGTTGTTCTCTCATGAGCAGTTCTCCAAGGAGCTCTCTCAGCCCCACCGGCCTCACAGGGTGTCTGTTGTGGGGAGGGGAAGGGAAAGGAGATTGTAAGCCACTCTGAGACTCCTTCAGGTAATGAAGGGTGGGGTCTCAATCCAATCCTTCTTCTTCTTCTTCTTCTTCTTCTTCTTCTTCTTCTTCTTCTTCTTCTTCTTCTTCTTCTTCTTCTTCTTCTTTTTCTCCTCCTCCTCCTCCTTGGGGGTATGGACCTGTCTCCACATATGTAATTGGACTACCGACTATAACTTCTCAGGTGAGGTCCTGTTAGTGTTCTGTCAACACTGGTTTCCTCACCCATTTTGACAGAAGTCAAAACTGAGGCACAGTGAAATTCTGCCTCGCCTGAGCCTGCATGGGTGGGAAACCGACCAGAACCTCAGGACGACCCAGGTCTTTTGCTGTCTGCATTGTCTAATGTTGCTCCTTGTCTAATCCAACATCTCGGAGATAAGGATCAAGAAGCGGCTTCATGGAAGAAGCTGCAGATCTTCCCAGGGGTGTGTTGGGGAAGCCGGCCTTTTATTTTCTGGTAACTGGTTGGGGAAGTCTGAGACAGACAGATGGGCGTTCTGTGGGATCTCTGCCGTGTGTGTGGCAGAGGATCTTGTATGCAACCAAAAGATTCCCAATGAGTCAAACTTGGTTCTCCCAATACCAACCAGTAGAACCATCTTCCATTTTCTCCCTTCTAACTGCACTGTTGGATCAGACCTCAGGTCATACCCAAACCTGCCTTCTACTGAACCCAATGACTGGCCCATCAAAGTCAGCCAGGTTCTCAGGTGGAGGTCTTTCACATTACCTTCTGCCTGGTCCTTTTAGTCAGAGATGGTGGGGATTGAACCTGGCACCTAGGGAATCAAACCTGGGTCCTGGTGTTTAGTCATGCTGGGCACATGACCACAGAAATGTCTTCGGACAGCGCTGGCTCTTTGGCTTTGAAACAGAGATGAGCACCGCAACCCTAGAGTCGGACTCGACTGGCTTTTGAGCAAGGGAACCTTTACCTTTACTTTACTTACTACCACCGAGCCAGTGTTCAGTGTTCATTTAGTTCAGTGTTCGTTAGCCACTCAGTTGCTTCCAGAAGCTCAAAGACTGGAAAAAGATGTCCACTCTCGATTTCTTATCTGTCTGGTACTCAGAGATAGACAGTCTATGAACTTGGAGGTTCCATTTAAGCTGTTAAGGCTAATGTCTGTTCTCACCGACAGGGCAAATCCGTGTTACAAACCCATCTCGACCAGTTGCCCTCGCTACATCTTCTGTCAGCAAATCCTCTCCTTTCTTCCTCCTCTATGTATTCCATCAGCCTCTCTTTGTAACAGCTGCCTCACCACTTATTCTGTTTCACTCAGCCCAATGGACGGACATTTAGATGCATCCGTGGAACTGAATTGTGACTCACAATTCGCGGACTCTAATCTGGGAGAACCGGGTTTGATTCCCCACTCCTCCACTTGCACCTGCTGATGTGACCTTGGGTCAGTCACAAGCTCTGGCACAGCTGTCCTTGAAAAAGAGCAGTTTGTGTCAGAGTCCTCTCAGCCCCACCCACCTCACAGGGGGTCTGTTGTGGGGAGGGGAAGGGAAAGGAGTTTGTAAGCCGCTCTGAGACTCCAAGTGAAGGGCGGGGTATAAATCCAATCTCTTCTTCTTCTTCTTCTTCTAAAGCGCATGTTGATATGATTTTTTTTTAAAGTCTTTTATGCGCTACTGGACTCCTGTTTAATTTAGCTCCAGCAGACTGATGGGGATTTCTGGGATCTCTATCGTCTTGTTCCTCTTCCTCATTTAATTTTTTTTTTAAAAATGTCACCTTTTTTCAGGTTCTTCTGAACACTCGGAGAGATGAAGACTAAAATGGAACAGGCCATGGAATGCGTGGTCAACGTCTACCACCAGTACTGTATTCTGGACCCCGTCGATGACTACCTACACCCGAAGGAGTTCCAGAAACTGATGAAGGAACAAGCCCAGCCCTTCTTGAAGAACACCATGCCAGTAAGTCACTTTTGAAGAGATGGCAAACCGTGGCTAGTGATGGGGTGAGGCTGCAAGCCGTTGGGCAAACGGGCATTTTTATTTCTTCAAGCCCACAGCTTTCGGCATTACAGTAGAATTTTTTAAAAAAATGTTGAGAAACATTTCACAGTGATACTCAGTAGCTAGGGTTGCCAGCCTCCAGGTGGGGCCTGGAGAGCTCCCACTTTTACAACTGAATGTTCCCTCTAAGCTGTGGAGTCTTGTGAGCAAAAACTCTACTTTGTGAGCTCCTGGCATTAAAGCTGTGAGCAAGTGATTTGGCTACGGCATAAATTAGGTTACTCTGGAGCCCTCCTTCCTGAGCTTAGACAAAAATATGTGAGCCAGAGGCTAAAAAACTGTGAGCTAGCTCACACTAACTCAGCTTAGAGGGAACACTGCAACTGATCCCCAACTGACAGAGATCAGCTCCCCTGGAGAAAACGGCTGCTTCGGAGGGTGGACTCCGTGGCATTGCACCCTGCTGAGGCCCCTCCCCTCCCCAAACCCCACCCTCTCCTGGCTCCACCCCCAAAGTCTCTAGGTACTTCCCAACCCAGACATGGCAACTCTATCAGTAGCTTGGGGACCCACATCTGTAGCTTTTCTGGGCACTGTTCCCCAATGTGGCACATGCCACAGGCTTTAGGAAAGGGAACAAGACCCTTGACTGGTGGTGCTTGTGGTAGACCGGTGGTTCCCACCTTGAAAACAGCTGCTACCAAAGGAACAGGAAGCTGCAAGTCTCCCTGAGGGACATGCCTGATGCTAGGGATGGAAGTCAATGTGGCTCTTTTGCTTGAGGGTTATTTATGAACGTGATTATTTATGAACGTGGGCACATGCAATAAGCCCCACCCCCTGCTCCCAGCAGCCCTCAGTCAGAGCAAGAAGCAGCCAGGTAAGTTGCAGAGCCCCCACCCTGGCCCCTGGACCAAAACAGTCCAGTGGCACCTTTAAGACCAAGTTTTATTCAGGTACAAGCTCTCCCTCCTCTGCGAGGACAGATCTGCACGTCCCCCCCCCAATAGCTAGCAATGCAAAACAGTCCAGTGGAGCCTGAGCGGTAGGTGACACACTTCCGGCGATGTCAGGGGGTGTGGCCTATGCAAAAAAGTTATGCTAATGAGCTCCTGCACCTCTTTTTCTACAACATGACCCCTGAGGCCATGTAATCAGTACACAGCCCTCTTTGTTAACACAATGCTTAGTTTTTGGTCCTAAAGGTCTAGTGTCTAGAAGGTAACACAGAAGCCTGGTGAAACTCACACTGATGCTATGTCAGAACGACTAATTTGGGCTCTGAAAACAAGATTTTGCTTGGATCTCACACATGAAGCTGCCTTCTACTGAATCAGACCATTGGTCCATCAGGGTTGGTATTGCCTACTCGGACTGGCAGCAGCTCTCCAAGGTCTCAGGCAGAGGGTCTTTCACATCACCTCCTGCCTGGTCCTTTTTTAAACTGGAGATGCCAGCGATTGAACCTGAGACCTTCTGCATGCCGAGCAGAGGCTCCTCCACTGATCCACAGCCCCCTCCTCCTTGATTAACAAATATTTGTGCCTTCAAAGTTTTGAAGTTGCCAAGTCTTGAATCCCGCTGCAGCAAGGATTATGTCCCGGGGTGGTACAATGATGCCAGTAAAAAAATGCAAATGACTGCATCAGAAGTGTCTTCTCCTGTGGTACTAACGCAAACACCCTTTTCTGCTTCTTCTTTTTTACAACCTGCAGCCTAGCGATGACCAGAACTCTTATATCGAAAAACTATTTCAACAAGCCGACAAGGACAAAAATGGGTACCTCAAATTCACCGAATGGCTGTATGTGATAGGAAAAACCCTCAACGAGGCCCACGAAAGATCCCACAACCTCGACGACGATGACAGCAAAACACCTGGACATGGGCACGGGCACAGTCACGGGCCCGGGCACGGGCACGGGCACAGCCACTGATTTGTCAAGGCCCCGGATATTCAGTTACGGTACCCACTGGCTCGCTGCGTAAACAACGACACCGTCTGCAATCAAACAAACCGAAATGGGCATTAGCGGGCAGCCACCCCTTGTCTTGCGTTTCCCTTGTGGGTCACGTACAATAATAAAGAGTTCTTCTGGAAAAAAAAAATCTCAATCTCCTCCTCTTGTGTTTTGCGATAGACTCAGAGGGCATAGAAAGAAGGGGAAAGATCTGATCGCAGCAAGCAGGGTAACCGATCAGTGTCCCCTCTAAGCTGAGTTAGTGTGAGCTAGTGCACAGTTTTTCTAGCCTCCGGCTCATGGATTTTTGTCCTAGCTCAGGAAGGATGGGTCCATCAGTCCATCAGTGGTTATTAGCCACAAGGTATAGATAGGAACTCTTAGTCTGGGGCAAGGGATGCTCTGTCTTCTTGGTGCTTGGTGGGATGGGGTGACAGTGGGAGGGCTTCTAGTGCTCTGGCCCCACTGCTGGACCTCCTGATGGCAGTGACGGTATGTTTGGCACAGAGTGTTGGACTGGATGGGCCTGATCCAGCATTGGCTTCTCTGATGTTCTTATGATCCAGAGCAAACTAATTTATGATGTAGCCAGATCGCTCGCTCACAACTTTAATGCCAGTAGCTCACAAAGTAGAATTTTTGCTCACAAGACTCCACAGCTTAGAGGGGGCACTGGTAACCATTTATTTTAATATTTTTTTTAAATTTTATTTTTATACTTTTTTACAGTGCACAAAATACGGTAAACCTAACTGGGAAAAACAGGGAGGTATAGATTACAACAAGATAAGAATTAGAACCACTGGGAGAGTACAATTTGTAAATACAACAAGACGTACCCGGCTATTAACTATATTTACTATGTTAACTATGGTAACCATTTAGATAGAAGTTTGGGGAGGGGGGGCGCTACAGCCTGGGCAGCTACTCACTTATAATCTCCTCAGGGGCCTTCCTGTACCAGACCAAAATATCCTCTCCCCCCCATTTTAATGGACTTTGCCTCAGTCTACAGACACTGTAGGGTCTCCAGCTTCTAGTTGGGACCTGGGGATCCTCTAGAATCACAGCTCATCCCCAGACGACAGCTCCCCAGGAGAAAATGGATGCTTTGGAGGGTGGACTCTATGGCATCGTATTTCACTGATCTCCCTGTCCTCTCCTGGCTCCATCCCCAAATCTCCAGGAGTTTCCCAAACTAGAGCTGGAAACCTGACCCCCTCCCCTCCTACTGGTGGACAGGAGGGATCCGTCAACCCTACTTTCCTTTCAGTGCCAACCACTCAGCAAACAGGCATTTCTGCATCTAGCACTCACTCCACATTTTCTGGGAGGAAAAGGTGTGGCTCAAAACCACATTCAAACACCCCGGAACCATGCTGCACAGACTGCAAAGTCACCCCCCGGAATGGCCATAAATCTATGCGGAGAGTACCATAAGACTCGATGCTCAAAGAAGGCGAAAGCGGCACGGAGTGTGGAAGCGACCATAAAGTCTGATGATCAAAGCAAGCGAAAGCGGCATGCAATGCAGAAGAGGGGAATCCCTGCTCCAATGTGGGTTTTGTAAAACAAAGGAGGGAAAAGCCAACCCAGGATCACCCCGTAGAAACGTTTTACAGAGCTCAGGCAGGACACTAAATGACACGCTTTCGATCCACTTTCAGTCCACTCTGCAACTGGGTTTTACTGTGTGACATGGCAAAACTCACTTGCAAACCGTCGCCAAAGTGCATCAAAACTACATTATTTAGCATGTGTGGAAGCACCTGGAGTCTTTCTCTTACCTATCAGCAGGGGTCATTTCATAGAAAAAGGTGCAGGAGCTCATCAGCATAACTCATTAGCATAACTCATTTGCATAGGCCACACCCCCTTGACATCACCGGAAGTGTGTCACAAGGCAACACCCACCACTCAGGCTCCACTGGACTGTTTTGGATTGCTAGCTATTGGGGGTGGGGGGTGGGAGGAACGTGCAGATCTGTACTCGCAGAGGAGGGAGAGTTTGTACCTGAATAAAACCTGGTCTTAAAGGTGCCACTGGACTGTTTTGGGCCAGGGGGCTGGGGGGAGGGACTCTGCAACTTACCTGGCTGCTTCTTGCTCTGACTGAGGGCTGCTGGGAGCAGGGGGTGGGGCTTGTTGTATGTGCCCGCCCCCTGGGCTCTTTACTGCCGGAGCTCCACTCCTGTGCGCTCCTGCAGGAAATGACCCCTGCCTATCAGTGTTAAGAAGATCTTTAACCAGCACATCTAGCTGGTTTTCTTCTTTGGGTTTAGCTGCAGAACTCTCTCACAGCCAAAACGTGGTGATGGACTGCACAGCCCTCAAATAATGCTCCCCAGGTCACAGGTTTTGGAACTGTTGTCTGCTTGATCTCAACAAGTCGCTAAACGAGTATGGTGAAGAAGCAGCTGCTTTCCTACTATAAATGACTCCAGGGCTGTGATCACACACACTGAAGAATCCACTTTCAATGCACTTTCCAACTGGATCTTCCTGTGTGAACTGTCAAAATCCAGTCGGAAGGTGCATTGAAAGTAGATTGAAGGTGGATTCTTCAGTGTGTGCGATCGTAGCCTAGGTACTCTGCCCGCGAGGTACTGGCCCACTTAAGTGACTGATCCCTGTCAAGTCAATTTTATTGCACTGATTTATATATATATATATTTAAATGCATACCCTGTTGTCTCATAGATCTACAAGGTGGTGAACAAAGCCTTTAAATATCCTTAACACCAGAGGTCAATTCGGGGGGGGGGTCGCGGGGGATCGCAGTTCCCCCGGGTGAGGTACGGGGGGCGGGGCACATGATGAAGCCCCGCCCCTTGCTTCCGGCTCCCCACAACAGACACCCTGTGAGGTAGGTGGGGCTGAGAGAGCTCTGACAGAAACTGCTCTTTTTCAAGGACAGCTCTTATCAGAACTACGGCTTGCCCAAGGTCATCCAGCCAGGTGCAAGTGGAGGAGTGGGGAATCAACCCCGGTTCTCCCAGATTAGAGTCCGCGCACTTAACCACTACCCCAAACTGTAAGACACAAAGGATACTGGTCTGGAAAAATCAAACAAGCATATGGGCGCAGAAGTTCATCAGTGGCTCTTAGCCACAAGGTATAGATAGGAACTCTCAGTCTGGGGCAAGGGATGCTATGTATTCTTGGTGCTTGGGGGGGGCAACAGTGGGAGGGTCTTCTAATGTCCTGGCCCCACTGCTGGACCTCCTGATGGCACCTGGTACTTTTTGGCCACTGTGTGACACAGAGTGCTGGACTAGATGGGCCACTGGCCTGATCCAACATTGGCTTTTCTTATGTTCTTATGTTCTTATCAGGGTGACATTTGCAGATACCATCAATAATCTTGCCTGGGACTGGGACTGCTGAGAAGCATATTGCTAGCAAGGACCACAGAGGCCCTCTAGTCCAACCTCCTGCTCAATACGGGATCAGCCCAAAGCATCCCTGACACGTGTTCATCCAGCCGCTGCTTGAAGACTGTTCACGAGGGAGAGCTCACCCCCTCCCAAGGTACCCGATTCCACGGCTCAACTTTTCTTATTGTAATTTTCCCCCTTCTAACCCCCTTCCGGTATATGTGCTTCTCATTTTTGTTACCTAGATGCCAATGTTCCCTCTAAGCTGTGGAGTCTTGTGAGCAAAAATTCTACTTTCTGAGCTACTTGCATTAAAGTTGTGAGCGAGCGATTTGGCTACTGTATAAATTAGTTGGCTCTGGAGCCATCCCTCCTGAGCGAAGAAAAAATGTGTGAGCCGGAGGCTAAAAAAACTGTGAGCTGGCTCACACTAACTCAGCTTAGAGGGAACACTGCTAGATGCCGAACTCTGCACTTATCCTTGTTGATCACATCTTGTTCACCTCTGCCCTCTTTTCCAGCATGTTCAGATCTCGTTGGATTCTGTATCTTCCGAGGTGTTCGCCACTCCTTTCAATTTGGTGTCGTCTGCAAATTTAATGAATAGTCCTTCCACACCCTCCTCCAGATCTTTTATAAAGATATTGAAAAGTTCTGGGCCGAGAACCAAGCTCTGTGGCACCATACCGGCCACCTCCCTCCAATCAGATGAAATGCCATCGACAACTACTCTTTGGGTGTGGTTTGGTGTAGTGGTTTGGGTGTGGTCTGGGTGAGCCAGTTCGGTGTACGACTCTAATCTGTGCACGGACTCTAATCTGGGAGAACCGGGTTTGATTCCCCACTCCTTCACTTGCAGCTGCTGGATGACCTTGGGTGAGCCATAGTTCTGGCACAGCTGTTCTTGAAAAAGAGCAGTTTCTGTCAGAGCTCTCTCAGCCCCACCTACCTCACAGGGTGTCTGTTGTGGGGAGGGGAAGGGAAAGGAGTTTGTAAGCCACTCTGAGGCTCTGAGTGAGGGGCAGGGTATAAATCCAGTTTCTTCTCTCTTCTTCTTTTCCAACCAGACTATTATCTATCTAACTATCTTAGAATCCAGTCCGCAGTCCTCCAGTTTACCCATCAGGGTATCAAGGGGAACACTGTCAAAAGCTTTACTGAAGTTGTTACACGGATTGCCTGGGGCAGTACATCTGTACAAAAGTTCTTTATACTCTATGCATACGAGGGTCAGATTGCGAAAGATACCAGCGGAAGGAAGAGACCTTTTGATTGAATAAATGGAGTGTTATGCCAATAAAGGTTATTGGAATTGGAATAAATGGAGTTTTTATTGTAAATAAATGCAAAGCTCACAGTACTCACTCATGCAAAAATAACAACCACCGTTCAACACACACAGAGCTAGGCAACAGAGAGGGGATCGATAGTGACACGAAGGGGGTTGATTTTAGGTTAGGGCGATATTCACCTGATCCTGAAGTCCAGAAGGCTTGTGGAAGGAGGAGGACACGGCCGACCGGCGGTCCGTGTCAAAGGCTTAGGCAAGAGTCTTATGGGCCCCAAGAGGCATAGAATGCCAGTTTAAATATTTTGGGGCAGGAAACCAGGGGTGGACTGGCTGGGGGTGTAATGAGTAGACGGATTAAGGCTGAGTTCAGACTGGCAGTTCGCCCCGATATACGTGCGTTTCATAAATGTTCCACAACCAAATTAAAGGGGCCGTTCACACAGGCACATCTCTCCGGCGTTCCCCAGCCGTACTCAACCC